CAAACATTTCCATTTTCTGCCAAAAATTGCGACACTGGGGCAGATATTGACGTGCTTCCGACCTGAGATGCGAGGAAAATTACTGCAATTATATAAGGAATGGCACAATAACTCCAAACAAACTTACAGGCTCTCCTCTTAAATTAATAGGTGGTATTGTGGCGGCATTTGTAGTTGACTGAAATTAAGGTAGACCAAACGATAACTATATTTTTTCATCGCTTCACATACTTCGCAACAGAGTTTTTATTGAGTAATGTTTCAAAATTATTTTTAGCACATAATGAAAAAAGATGCAAGATCGGCAAAACAACGATTCTGCAACTGTCAACATCGCTACATCACGCTGCGCTACGCATATTTGTTCCTCTTAGCCTGTCCTGTCTGCCAAAAAGACCATCCTCGCTTTCAGCTGCGCGTCTAGACAGACTACATATGGTATTGATCAACATCGAAGCTTCAGCCGCTTCGCTTCCGTAGAATCACATTTTTCGTATGGAATTTTCCTCTCAAACATGAAAAAAAATCACTAACCAGTCCCCGGCTACTATTACTAGGAAGTGAGCGAGGTCTGGATTCGTCAATAATCTAGAAAATACAGAATGAGCTGAGGCGACAACTTTAAATTCACGACTCACTTCTACGTAAGCCCCAAGAGGGCACTTCCTTCGTGAAGTCAGTCGCGTTGTGCCAGTAGCACGACCGCGTGTGTGCTCGTTAGTGGCCCTCGTCTCCACTGGGGAAGCACCGAGTACAATTGGATTCTCGCTGGACCCCAGGTTTTCCACTCTTCGGGAAGAAGGCAATGGATTGTTATCGTTTAGAGAATGAAAGCCGTCTGGTTCGTCGATCATACACTTGTGCACAGTCAACTGTAATAGCAAATAATATTTAGTGAGTCTACATCTGGCTGAGAATAAGTTCGAAGCTAATTCAATAGATAACATTAAGAAAGAGTCTCTTGAACATAAAAACAATGATAATCCCAGATAATAAACTGGCTTCGAGGAATAAGGAAAAACGAACTACAATAAAAAATCTTTATCACATTATTGAGCATTCTTATCAAGATCTACTTTATCTAGGCTTGGCACTTTTCAGAAAGAGTGAATATGGAAGTCATAAATCATTCCGTCTTCGCTTAGCACTATAGGATAAGCGGTGATGACCTGAAAGCACATTCTACAGATAAGAGGCACTCGGAGAAAACGGAAGGTAACTGTGCAAAATAAGGAAAAGAAAAGTATACCAAAAAAATGTTGGGATAATAATACCTGATGGCACATCTCAA